CCCCCTGCCACAGGGACCTAACAGCCACCCAAGTGACCTTCATCTTGCAGTCTTCAGATGCTCTTCACACCCCTAAGGACAGCCCGGTCACCACCGGTGAGGCTGGACCCATGACTGCAGCTCTCATCACAAGTGGGCATCCCGGCATCGCTTCAGTCACCAGCCTCACCCTCCAAAACTCCGCTGGCAGGGGCTCCCCTGTGGCCCGGCACCACCGAGCCCGGCTGTATGGGCTAACGAGCAGCGTTTTGACATATGGATGTGAACGGTCTGATGAACTTAATTAACGGGGACCTCCAGGACTGCCGAGTGGCTGGGGGGGCCACCGGGGGAACCAAGCCCTGGAGCAGCCACGCGGGAACCGAAGCCTGGCTCTGAGCCCAAATGGCATGAAAAGCAGTGATCAAACTGAGCTATCCCATGGTTTCTGCAATTCCCCCTCAAATATAAAAATCTATTTGAAGGGGAATAGCAGAGAGGTCTTCTCCTGGCAGAAGTTTCAGATTCAGCCATCGGCCACACCAGAAACATCCTGCTGTACCCCACGGGATGGGCTCGCTCCCTCCTGCTGTTTGCAAGATGGGATGTGCACCCCAGATCTCCCCGGGAGATCTTCACAGAGGAGAGGGAGGTGCTTCCTCCAGCTGTTTGGGGTGCGTTGAAAGGAAATAAGCCAAAGGTCTGAAGTCAAGCTCAGCCTCTTCCTTGTTGCCTGCATTTCCCACCTGCACTATGGCAGCAGCATCACCATCCTAGTGCCCACCAGGGACCCCAGGACCAACCGGTCCCTTCTGCCTCAGGACAGTCCTGCAGCATGCAGGAGCAGGAGGCTGTTCTGAAAGCAAGGACCACTCTTTTCAGGACTATTGTTCCCCACTTATCCATACGGACGGAGGTTGCCTCCTCAGAGCAAAGCCTCAGAGCTCAGCGGAGGATGCTTTAGGAAAAAAAATAGGAGAGAACAAAGTTATCCTTTCCTGTCTCCTGCCAGCTGTTGGCTGGTGCATCTCAGGGGCTCCTGAGCCCAAGCTCGGCCCAGTGCCATGGTGAACGGCCCTTGACAGTTGGGTCTGCCATGATCATGTCCCTTCCCAGTCCTCAGCCTGGGCACCGTCCTGGGCTGCTCTCAGCTCCCTGCCGCTGCTGTGCACTGGCCTGTTGGACACCCATCACCCAGCCATTCCTGGGGGGCCTTGCAGGCCTTCCCCAAAACAATTACAGAGAAATTAATCACTTTTTCACCATTCATTATTTTATACATTTCATATTTCCACTCAAACTCCCAGCCCGGACAGCGCCAACCTTGTTGCTTCCCCTAAGGGAGCTGCTCCACGCCACTGAGTGTCTTGGCCAACTCTCCTACCATCCCCAAGGCTGTTTGATCCTCTTTGAGATAAGGGGACCAACATTTAAGACAGTGCTCAAGACATCTGCATAAATCCCAGGGATGCCCACCTCATGGCATCTCCCACCCTCATCTCAATAACTTCTGATTTTCCACAGCTGCAGTTTTGTTGACTGTTGTCAAATTTTGGAGGGGTTTTTTTTTCTTCCTAAGGAGCATCTGCAATGACTCTACATTCTCCATCTGAAGTGACAACAGCCAACTGAGAGCCCACAGCTCCAGGGACCCCAGGAATGGTCCTGGTGGGAAGACCCTGCCTGGGAAAGACACAAAATCAAGCTTAGGCTTTGCCTTCCCCTGCCCAAAGCCATTGGGATTGCCATCGCATCATGGGATCTTACGGACTTACGGATGCAGCCTCCTGTTGGGTGGCCTGAGCCGCAAAGCGGGCCACGTGGTTGATGATGGGGGAGAAGTTGGTGGGTCCATAGAAGCGGATGTGGGGCAGGCAGGCTGAGTAAGCTTGGACAATGCCCTCCACACCTTCAGGGAAAGCAGAGAAGCCAGGCGTTACAATGCAGGCTCACCACAAGTCCAATCAAGTCCAATTAAACATCATTAGATAACGCTGTCATGGGAGCTGCCCCCAACCTCATCCAGCTCCACAAGTTTCAACCACCTCAACTCAAATTTTCTAATACGAGGGCTTTGCTCTTTAGTCACTTTGTAATGGGTCTTCAGCCCTTCTGTGGTCAGAGAGCCCTTGTAGGGCCCACAGTTAAAGATGGCTTTCCTTGGGTTTTTGCAAAAATCTCAGAAGCAGACAAAGAGGAAGAACAAAAAGAAAAGCAACTCCTGGTCTCTGAGCATAACAAAAAACCAGGCAGATGTGGAGCAGAGGTAGCAGAGAGAAGCAAAACAATCCCAGAAGCACCTTCTGAGCTCCCAAACTGTGTTTAGGACCTGCAGGTCATCAGAGACCCTTCTGCTTCTGCCACAACACAACAGGGTAAATGGCTGCTCTCCCGAAAGGATGCATGGCTGTGCAATTAAAAATGACCAGTTCCACAATTAATCAGCTGATAATCAGTTCTTTGGGAAGGACCCATAACTGAGAAGAGCTGCAGGATGGTGGCTTCTGCCCACCATAACATCTGCAATAAATCAGGTCCCAAGAATGCTTTACAGCTACCGGAGAGGGACTGAACCAAGCACAGGCAGCAGAAGTTCACAGCCAGCTTTCATGAACCAGCGAGTGAGGTTTGGAGGCTGCACGAGCCCCTGTTTTGCTGGGGTAAAGCAGAAGTCAAGCCAGATGACATCTGCAGCCATGGTAGCCCTTACCACTTAGATTTGAGCAGTTCTTCAGCCATGACTGTGACCAGCTCTCAGTTGCTACACAAAGCATTAAGTCTGAATTCCCCATCTGCTAAACAAGCCTCGTGTTTCTCACAGGCTTGCTGGAGGAGCAGACGGCTGGTAGGACACACCAGACATCAGAGTGAGGCGGATTTTATGCTGTCTGAATCCAGTTGCATTTTACCCTGGGCCTTCTGACACACCCCCAAGTTGTCTCTTCTTTCCTCTGAGTCCATCCTTAGCATGTGCTCTACTTCACCATTAATGCCTGCCTCTGAACAGACCTTGAAAAATCCCCACGAAGTTACTGGAGAAATTCAGAGGGAAGGACAGATGACACTGAAATTATCTAAGGAATCTTAAAGACCTGGTAGATGCTCACCTGAACAGAACGGGTTTGTGGGATTGAAGTTAATGGCAAACTCATGGGATACCTGTGGAGAAGAAAAGAACCAAATTAGCCCAGAGGGCTGGTGCAGAGCAGGTTGCTCACCATTGGGTTAGCTGATGCTGCAAGACTGGCTTGTGTCTGATGCTCCCCTGGGTCAGGACCTGGTGGTCATGGACATTATGGTCCATCCTGCTGGGTCAGCAACAATTCACGGCCCTCTGCTACCCAAACAGCAAGGAGCAGCAACTACAAACATGGTCAGGGTTGAGCAGCATTTGAGGATGGACTAGTTCCTCAAGCTACCCATCATGGAGCTGAAATGATCACATCACACATCTTCTATGGCTATCAAATCAGGTTTGTCCATATGGCTTCCCACTGGCTGCCTAGGGGGAAAGCATGCAGAGGGGATGTTCTCAGCCAGCTGGGCCATCTCACTGGGCACTAGGAGAAATTACTTCATCCTATTGCGGGTTATAAAGGGAGAAAACTCAATTATCATCATGTGGAGCCCCAGTTCTGGCAGCATCCTGGTTCCCCATCTCTCTGCAAGCTGCACGCAGGAGGGAGGCAGGCACAGAGCGAGCCGGGTTGAAGACCTGATCTGGCCTGTCAGTTATCATGACAAAGCCAGCAAATGACTAGCTTCACCATCTGGGTCATCATGAGGGTGAAAGGCTGCACAGGAGAGGTGACATGAATGCTTGGGCGTGGTGGACAGCAAGTCCTAGCACAGTCTGGACTGGTTTTCATTGACCATGAAATCATCCCTCCTCCAAGGAAGGTGCAAGATCCTTCAGGTTTTCCACCATGTCCTCCCAAGCTGAGGGAGATGCTGTCACAAGAAGTCCTGCAGGGCACTGGCAACAGCAGCTAGGCCTGCACACCCTGATCCCTGGCTCGTTGCAGTTGCCCATTCAGAGAAACCAAACAGCAGCGCTGACTGCGAATCACAAAACCTCCCTCATCTACTTCCATGGGAAGACCCCGCAGCAAAACGTTGGGCAACAGTTGCTTTGAACCCATCTCTGCCAACATAAGCAAGGGCAGCTCAATGGCTTGGGTGCAAGAGAGGGTCAGGACTCCTGGCCCCCAGTATGAACCTTGCCATTGCTGGCATGGGTTAGCAGCTTGCTTGGAGAACAACCATCAGCTCTGGGGGCTCAGACACTCCTCACTCTGCTACTTGCAATGAAGGCACCTTAAGAAGCAAAGAGACTCTCAGGAGCACTGAGGACGTGTGACTGCCTCTTCCAGCACCTCTGAAGGTTGAAGGGGGTGATTTGGGCTTTCAGGCCACTAGCTCAAGGGCTCTGAAGCAAAAAGCTCTCACTCTGTTTGTGCCAGGGTTACAAAACAAGGATATTTTTTCCCTCTGAGAAGGGTGGTGGTTTGCTGAGCTTCTCAGCCAAGGGATTGCTTCGGGACCTGCGTATTCATACCGCTGGCAAAACGACTGTCCTCTAAAGCACCATGTGAAGCAGAAGTCCTCCTGAGACTGCAAAAGCAACACACATCTGATTCAGACTTTCCAATTATACTGGGCATTGTGTCGAAAGCAGCAGAAACTATTTTTGCAAGAGGCTGTGGGGTGGGAAATAGCAACCAAACAAAAGTAGGTCAACTAAAAGTCCTCCCCATGCTGCAAAGCTGACGAGCTGTCGGACCCGTGAACGTCAACAGCCTGCTTGGGTCTCTCCAAGCCTGTTGAGCACAACCAGTAACGCTCCAAGCCACCAGTGACCCCAGGCTTAGAGCTGTGGTCTGAAACACAAGACTTGGGTTTTGCATATGCCCTTTTTCATAGAAGCCTCAATTTTAGGCAATATATCCAAACTGAAATTTCTTAATTTTCACTTGTAAAGGGCTCACTTTCTTTTTTTTTTAAAAAAGATGTTCACAATTCTGCCGTACGAGTATTTATAGATAAGGCAAGCAAAAATATTTCCACATTCTGCACTGCAGAAGAGGGGTTTCTCTTTCTTTTAAGCAGCAAGAAAATGGTTTGGAGCTGTGTTCCTCACCGTTTACAGAGCAGACCCCCTGCATGGCAGAAGTGTTGCAAAACCTTCTTCTGGAGTTTTTACAGATTTCATATATATATATATCTGTGAGAAAATTCAACAGGAGGGCTTCAATATAACAACAACAACAATGAAAAAAAAATTAAAAGGAAATTTTAATTCCCTATTCAGCTCATATGAAATGAAATGAAATGAAATTCCCTATTCAGCTCATATTTTGAAAAACAGTCTCTGTGGAGTCCAGTCAATTGTATATGGAGCACCCACAGGTACCACATTCACCAGTAACCTGCAGGGACTTTTTTTAACTCTTTCAAACCACCTCAAAGGGTAAGACGTTCATCTGCAGCCAGCCTGTGTCCTCTTCCTATTCTGGAGAGGGACAACCATAGCTCCATGTTTTCCCATCAGGAATTATGGATGCACCTCACAGATTGCATGGCCACAACCTGTGCCAGAGAACTGACCCTGCCACCTCCCCCAGCGATCCCATCCC